CTTTTCTTTGCAGCTCCAATGGTGGCAGCAAGTGTCCCCAGTCAGCCTTTCCTTTTTTGCCTCCTTTTCTGTCTTGGGCGTCGTGCCCTGTGCTAACAGCCTCACATATCAGCACACCACTGCTGCTTATGAACCTCTTTCTTGCTAGAGTCCTCAGCCTTGTAATGAGAACAGCTGGGGAGAATTTTGGGGCCCATTTTACAGATGGGAAAACTGAGTCCCACAGAGGCCAAGGGATAACCCAGTATTCCAGTGCATGGGACCAAAATTCAACTTGACAAAGTCTTGCTCTTCAACATTGCCATCTACTCGCTCAGGGGCTCAGAATTCTAAAGGACTCAGTTGCCTACAAAGGTGACTCCAATGTGTTTGATTTCTATGACTCTAAGCCTTAGTTCGCCTTAATACATGTATTTGTTGCAGAGAGGGAGGGAGCAGAAAGGAAGTGAAAGACCCAGCAAAGGTCAGCCCATCAAAGGAGCTTAACAACTATCCACCACTGATATAAGACCGGCTTGTTCAGAGGCTGGCCACATCATTCCACAAAAGGCTAGAGAGTGAAATTGGGCTGCACGAGGTGCTGGGCAAGACACAGACCAGCGCCTGGGGTGGAATCCTAATCCTGTGTAACCCCAGCCAAGTGACTTAGCATCTCTGGATCTCCAGATCCTCCCTTGTAAACCAGGAATAATGAGAATATCCACTTGACAGAGTGGCAAACATCCCACTGAGTTCACACAGGGAAAGCCCTGGATGGTGCCTGCAGCACAGGTAGAGGCACCTGCTTTCATCACCACCCTTCCCCCATCCCCATCACCATCACCACCCTTCCCCATCACCATCACCACCCTTCCCCATTACCATAACCACCCCTTCCTCATCACCATCACCTCTTCCTCATTACCATCACCATCACCACCCTTCCCCATCACCATCACCACCCCTTCCTCATCACCATCACCATAACTACACCTTCCTCATCACCATCACCATCCTTCCTCATCACCATCACCACCCACCCATCACCATCACCATAACCACCCCTTTCCCATCACCATCACTACCCCTTCCTCATAACCATCACCACCTCTTCCTCATTACCATCACCATCACCACCCTTCACCATCACCATCACCATGCTTCCCCATCACCATCACCACCCTTCCCCATCACCATCACCACCCTTCCCCATCACCATAACCACCCCTTCCTCATCACCATCACCATCCTTCCTCATCACCATCACCACCCATCCCCATCACCATCACCATAACCACCCCTTCACCATCACCATTACCACCCCTTCCTCATCACCATCACCACCACTTCCTCATCACCACCCCTTCCCCATCACCATTACCACCCCTTCCTCATCACCACCTCATCCTCATCACCATCACCACCCCTTCCTCATCACCATCGCCATCATCATTACCACCCCTTCCCCATCACCATCACCACTAATATTTGCTCTCTAATCTTTGAATTTGACACTGGCTGTCTTGGCCAGGCCAGGCAGCTGTCATTTTAATGACCTTGGGCTCCTTGCATGGAGTCATAGTTCCCTAAAAGACTGTACAGTAGAATTCCTCTGCCAGTAAAGCTCCCAGGTACAGGGTTAGAAAGTCGTAGGTAAGGAGTTAAGAAGAGGGGGAGCCCGTGAGCCCTGATCTACCTCCAATTCACTGTGTGACCCTGAGCGGGCAGTCCTTGTGCCCAAGTCTCCTTCCCATCTGCAAGGGGACTGTGGAAGGAGAGGCTCTGAGGAGCCTCCTTACTCTGTAAGTCAACACACCTACTCTGCTGAAGAGTTGGCGGCACCCCCATTACCCATGATGTCGCCCAGGGTACCAGGGTGCCTCCATCTTGCCACAGTGATGGGAGGTGATGCATTGCTGAATCCCATGGCTTCTGGGGAAATGGACCCCCTCCATTCCCATTCAAATTTAGACCCAGGAGAGAAGAAAGGAGGCACCCAGCCGCATAGAGCTAGGAGACGCATCTGGGAACAAGGCCCCTGAAAGGGCTTTGCTGGCCCAGAGACTACCCCCACCCCAGACTCCCAGCCAACAAATGAGGGGTTTCTTTTGCTCTCTTGGATCAAGGCAGCCACCGTGCTCACTGCTGGCTCTGAGTGGAGCAGCTCATGCAGAAGCCCCACGCCTCCCCAGCTCCCTGCATCCGGTGGGAGGAGGGGGATGAAATGATTTACTCTGGGAACCTCCACTGTGCAGCCATTAAATCACTGTGGAAGGCGACGACATTTGCATACCACTCCCCACCACTTCCCAATGCCACCTCTCTGAAGGGCAGCGCCACACACAGGCACCCCCACATCATTCTTGTAATGAGAAGGAAATATACCACATGCCACACCAAGGTGCCAGGCAGGAGGAAGAGAAACTCTGTCCTGAAAGCCAAGCCCCCCGCCCCGCCACTCACACGGCCCCTCTGTCGTGGGGCAGGCAGGGGGTGCTCCACCAACATCGATTTCATAGACCCGAGACCCCTGTGTATAATGAGTCCACGAAGCAAAGCTCGTTCCCTTTCCCCAGCAGGGACAGTAACTGCGCCGCTAATTTGCAGAGCCACAGTGTGTACAAAAGTGGCTTGAATAATAGGGGCCCCTAGCCGCTAAGCTGGGGGATTTGTGCTGACTCTTACCAAGCACCGTTCCATATGTTTAAGCACTTGCAAGGCTGAAAGAAGTACACCCACCATACTCTTTACCATGGCAGCTACCCACGCAGGAAGCGGGGTGGGGGATGAAGAATCCAGTCCCTGCATGTGTGTGGTGGGAGACAGTGAGCGCATCTTTGCCTCTGAACTCTTCCAGCCCCTATTCCAGAGCCTCAGTCAAACGAAGTAGGTAAACCACGGCAGAAAACATCCACAAAATCCAACCAGCTTTGAAAGAAGCTCTGGTTAATTCCTCCGAACGTTTCAAAACCAAGTGTAGGCAGCTAAGTATCTTTCAGGAATTTCAGCCTTTTCTTTTTTTTTTTTTTTTTTTTTTTTTTTTTTGTCAGTCCTCCTATCTAGTGCTAAATATAGAGTTAAAAAACTATCGTCTCTTTATGTCCCTGGTGGATACCCGTGAAAGACTTGCATGTGCTTCCAGGGACGGGCCGATGGCACTGGAGGCTCTGCCCCGGGTGGTATTTGTGGGAACGAGCTGCCCAGCTGAGACTCTCCCAAAGAGCAGCAGGGGAGCAAGCAAAGAGCCGGCCAGCAGCAGGTTTCAGTGGCAGCCCACCTTCCCTCCCAAGATGGGCCTTCCAGAGCCAGGCACAGGCTCTTCTGTTGCTGGGGGAGAGGGCGGGAAGGCGGGGTGGCAGGGGGATCATCGTGTTCTCTTACAAAGCATTAGGCAGCCAGCTTCTCTGAGAGACTTCCAATGTTCACTTATAAGCACATCCAGGCAAATGCTGACCCCCGTGGAGAAACAAAATAGAGACAAAACTGCAATTTTCAAGTCCGAGGGACTATGCACTTTTGCAAACAGGTCCCAGGGCTTCAGCTCGGCCCCAGCAGCAAACCCTCTTGCATACCGCAGAGGAATGCCGAAAGCAAAACAGCTATCATAGCTGCTCCTTAGCCAAGCAGGCGAGACTCATCCACGTTAAGCCCAATGCCACTCTCTAAGATGAACCACAGCCGAAGGCTGCTGGAGATCTCCCATAGAAGGTTTTCCCCGAGTCAAAGGTGTTAGTAAATACTCTGGGTCATTTAAGGGCATCTCAAAGGAAGCCGACGCTGACTTTTTCCATGCAAATGAAATACATCGACCATCAAGTTGACATGCAAGCTTTGCTTCTAACTGAACCTTACCAAGACAGTGAAAGCCGAAAAGTTAAAAGTTGTATTTTTCTACTGCATTCTGCCTGTCTGGGTGGTTTGTTTGTTAAGGAAATGGGGAGAGATTTTCTAAAGCAAAAGCTACCTACTCCCAAATCATGGGTCTTGGTTTTAAAAGGTCTGGAAAGCTGAGATTTCCAAAGCACATGAGGGCTGCTCGTGATGTTCCCGGGGTTCATCTGAGTCTTTAGGATTTTCTCCACCACTTGCATGGGGTGGGGGGAAGGGAAGAACTGTCATTTTAGGATACCCTTTCTATAGAACCAACATGTAGCCACACCAAGGTGGGTAGAAAGCTTTCCAAACTACAGCGGAGACGGACAATACATGACTATTTTGCTTTCCCCACTCACTAGGACTGGGCGACAGCTGAGCCGGTTCAGCAAGGCGTCCAGCTCCCAAGTGCCCAGGCGATGGCTCTGGACATCAACCGTGTTCCAGGCTGCCCGGTGTGTCCTGGGCTGCCTGGCGGCGGCTACCCTCTCCCGCCTGCCTTGGGGTCAGGGCGCTGGGGTAGCTGGCTCCTCGCGTTTGCAGGAGGCGAGCAGCGGGCTGCTTTTTGGCCAAGTGGAGGCCACTTGGCGAGGGTGGATAGCTTGAGGAGAGCGATGTGAAAGCAGGGGAGGGCCGCGGGGCACGGGGAGGGCCTGCGGACACGCCAGACAGCGCCAGCCGAGACATTCCCGGGGCCCGCAGGTGTCCCGGGAACGCGCCACTGTGCGACCGCGGGCAGGCAGCAGGGCGCGGGAGAAGGGCTGCGTCGACGCCCCCACCCAGCAAAACCCCCGCAGGAACCGGGACCTGGGGGAATGTTGGCCTAAGACAGGGCGGGGAGGGGGCTCTGTTCCTGGAGGCGCGCCCTCACCCGCCTCGAGAGGCTGAGCGCCCGGGTCTGTGGTCCCCTTACGTCTCGAAACAATCCGCAGGGAAGCTAGGGCTTTGGGGGAAAAGGCAGGCGGGCTCTTCCCAGGCGCGGGGCAAAGGGGAACGCGCCAGGGGCTCCTGGGTTCCCGGGGTCTCCCATGGTCGGTCCGAGTGCGGGAGATGCACGCTGCCAGGGACTTGAGGAGGAGGCAGCCGCCCGTTCAGCCAACTTTGTGCTCGGCGGCCGGGGTCGGGGATGGGGTCCGGGGGCGCGTTACCTGGGCACCGGAGCGCAGTCAGCGCCAGCAGGAGCCCGAGCGGCGGCGCCCGGCCCGGGGGCGGCATGGTCCTCGGCGCGCGGTGGGCGCGGTGCGGGGCTGCTCCTCTCGCGCGCCCGGCCCGGCCCGCGGCTCCCGGAGCAGCCCCCAGCGGCTACGCCCGGGCGCCGGGCATGGCTCGCTCCCAGCGCGCCGCTCCTCCCCAGACGCAGGCGCTGGCGCTGGTGGCGCTTCCTCGGCTGCGCCTCTGCGCGCTCTCCTGGGCTCGGCCGTGCACGGCCGGTAGCTGGGGCCGCCGAGGCTCAGCGCCCCGCGCCCTGGCCGGCTGCCCCGCACTTGGCCCGAGTTGCGCGGCCCCCGCCGCCGCCGCCGCCGCCGCCGCCGCGGCTCCTGCGCCCCAGCGCCCGTCCCATCCCGGTCGCGCAGCCGCCGCCGCCTCTGCCAGCGCCAGCTGCCGGCCGCCCCTCGAGCCAGCGAGAGAGTGAGCGAGCGAGCGAGCTCCGGGAGGAGGAGGAGGAGGAGGAGGAGGTGGAGGAGGAGGAGGAGGAGGAGAAGGAGGAGGAGGAGGAGGGGAGCGGAGGGCGGGGCCGCGGCCGGGGGAGGGGCCGCCGGGGAGCCGGGGCACAGGCGGTAGCCCTGCCAGTAGGCGGCGGGACGCGCCACTGCTCGGCGGCCCGGGGGTGGGCGCCCGGCCGAGAAGTCCGGGGAGCCCTCCGGCGGTCGCGGGCTCTCGCGGGGACTGGGGCCGCGGGAGGGGTGCGGAGTGCAGAGAGGGGGTGCCCAGCTAGATCCGGCGTCTTGGGGGCGCAGCGGTAGGAGTTGCCAAGGTCGATGGGTGAGGGAGCCACCGGAGGGCCCCTGGGATGGAGCAGCTACCTCTGGAGAGGCGGTGTCTGCCGGGGCCAGAGACCGCTAGGCTGAGCGCTGACCGGAGGTCCCGGGTTAAATGTGGCACAGCTAGCAGGTGCCTGTGGGAGACGGGAGAGGGGTGGAGGGAACTCCGGGAGGCCGGGGCTGTGTGCGAAGCGTCTGCACTGCACCGGGATGGGGGCTGGGGGCGCGCAGGCAGGGTGCGGTCACCTGGAACACAGCGAAGGCTGCTTGGGGATGTCTACCCACGTGAAACAGGGTCCTTTATTTACCCAAGCTAGAGAATGCTCCTTCCCATTTCTCGCAGGCCCTAGGAGCACGCAGAGGCAGCCAGGAGTTCTCCTGGAAAGGGCAGATTCCCTGGCGTCCCTGGAATGAGTTCCCATCAGGGCCAGGCAGTGAAGGCGCCGGGGTGTTGCGCAGGGCCGGGGTACTGGGTGGTCGGATTTTTCCATCCAGGGGCAGGGGCGCAGCCAGAGTGCGGAGGGAGGTCACAGGTCACACGGGGCCCCAGTACCTATTATCCCAGAACCCACTGATCCTCCTGGGCGCCCCATCCCCAACCAGAGCAAAGCCACGGTGGAGGGGGGGCCTAAGCCAAATGCATGAGACATGCTGGGAGCAAGTAGGGGCACCTCCAGCAGCGCTCAGATGCCTCGAAACCTTCCCCACCACGACGGGAGGACAAGGGACATGGGGGGTGGCCCACCTGGGAGAGTGGTTGGAGTCCCGGCTCCACCCCAGCCCCCATCACACCGGCCACTTGCTCTGACATCTCTGTTTTCCATGAAAAAGTGGGTCAAACTCTTTGAAAACGGTAAATAAGGCAGCATGGGTTGATGAAAAGATAGACTTGGGGAAGACTCTGGAGTCTCGAAGTCTTGGCTGAGAATCCAGGCTCTGCCACTCCTTCGCTGTGCAAGCTGGGGTGAGTCCCTTATTCCTTCCTGAGCCTCAGTTTTCTCATCTGAGAAATGGAAGCCATTGCACATCCACCTGGAGCCCCCAATAACACATATAAAGCCCCTGACCTAGGAAGTCGGAACTCATTTAAAGGACTCACTGTCCACATTATCATTCTCATCATCGTGGCCATTATTATGATAGATCTGATTTTCCTCTGCGGGCCCAGAGCTCACATCAGAACAACCCTCCCCACTCCCGGCTGGCATGAGGGGATGGGGGACCAGGCACCTGCTTGATTAGTACAGACAAGCTCATTAGCAGAGGCAGCACTCGGTTCTTCCTAGATAAAAGAAGGAAGAAAGCCAGGGGCAGGTGGTGAGTCTCTAGCCCAGGTTAATTAGGAGACGTAAAGGGATTTTCCCGTGGCTGCTAATCGGCTTCCTTTGGAAGGAGCCTGTGCCCAGGCCAAGCCCCCTTTGGGCTCCCTGGCAAGGCCTGCAATGCATGGAGAGCCACGCAACAGGCTGGACAATGGGATTGCAGGTCTCCTCGGGCCTAGGGTGGCCTTGCGAGGGGCCCATCTGTCCCCTCTCTGTGACTCCTTCCCCAGCTAAGAGGATGATCCTGGAGACATGGTCAGGACTCTTCGGGTCCTCTGTGCCCAACTGCCACCAACACCTCTTTCCTGTTCACTGGTTCATAAGCATCTGTGGAGCTTGGCACCTACTGTGTGCCAGCCTCTGAAGGGGATGGTGAAGCAGAAATGAGTGGACAACAGCAGGGGAGAGCCACAGCAGGAGTGACCCCAAGTGCTGGTGCCAAAGTGAACCACGTGTTTGACCAGGAAGCAGGTCAGTGAGGGCTGGGAGACTGTGGCCAAAGATAAAAAGTCATTTTCTGGCGGGGTAAGGGGTCATTCTGTGGCTTAATGGTGGTGCTTGGAGGGGGTTGTGAATCAGTCCAGCAAGTCCCCAAGCCAGCAGTCACACAGTCCCAGGTGTGATGGCAGATGGGAGTTGCCTTCCCCCAACCCCACACTCAGGACTACTGGTCATACCCCAAGAAAGCACCCTGCTTCTCCAGGGCAGAGCTGGGGGAGGGGGCATACGCTTCCCCACTAAATTATGCTGATGATGGTTGAGCCCCATGCTGAAGGCAGGGATCTGTTTTTGAGGGTGACTTTTCCATCCCCCAGCTGTGTGACTTTGGACAAGCCCCTAATCCTCTCTGAGCTCATATGTGGAGTAGGCATGAGAATTCCAGCCTGCTCAGCCTGCCTTGTGGTTGGATGAGGATTTCTGCATATTAACCAGGCCCCTGAACCTGTATCTCTAAAGCGGGTATTTCTGGAGGAAATAAGCAGGAAAAAGGCCTCCCTGGATTTCTGAAGGCCTGGGGCAAATCTGAGAGGCTGGCTGCACTAACTCGGAGACCCCAGGGCTGGGCGGAATTCTCCTCTCACTCCTACCCAGACTCTCGCCCCCAGCCTGCTGGCCTCATAGCCCGGGGCAGGACCATAAGAATTAGTCTACAATCTCACCTTAGGTACAGATGGGGAAACTGAGGCCAGGAAGTGTCCTTCCCCTGGATCTGTAAGTGTGGGGATGCTGACTCAACTAAGAAGAAGCCTCTAGCCTCAGCCTAGCCGTGCAAGGCTTCCTCAGGTCCCGCCACCCCCTGCCCAGCAAGAGGCTGCCCCCAGCACAGATTGCTCGCGGTCGGTCCCCGCACCCCAACTCTGCTGCGGCTCGGCCCACGAGCCCGCCGGGCTTCCGGCGAAGAGCAACATTGCCATCTCGTGGCTGCAGCTGGTACTGCAGGCCTGGAAGGCGCCGCAGAAGGAAGACAGGTCAGGGTTGGGGTGCGGGTGGGCTCGAGATGGAGGCGAATAGGCAGAGGGGTTTCCCCACCTGAGTCAACTGGCAGCAGCAATAACGGACCCCTTTGCTCTTGAACACCAACACGCAGGCAGCTGCTGCCGTGGTAACCACCAGTTGAAATTCTTCGCAAAACCTGTGACTGTTCCTTGTCCAGTGCACACACTGATGTTTCTGGCATCTTCCGGGAACTCAGAATTGACTTAGACTGCATATGCACCACAAGTGAGTGGTGGGGGAAAACAGAAGCCAAGCTCACTTATACAGGTAATCAAGGATTTCCTAAGAATACAGAATTTCAAGAAATCAGTCACTTGCACACCTGGACATATGGATGGGGCTGTAGGGTAAGAGCTCAGCCCTGACAGGTGAGGGAAGCCCCAACAGTCAGACCACAAGGGATTTGAGTTCCCTTCCAGGTACACCCCCAACAGGGAGGAGGCTGCAAGGGAAGAAATGGCTTCCTGTGCGTTTGAGCAGAGAGCACCTTGAACAGCTCTGACCCGCCGGCTTCCCAGGATAAAATGATTCCTGGACCCGCAGGGCTGGGAAGGGTGCAGCTGGGGGTGAAGGCACCATCCAGGTGGAATTTGGAGCAAGTGTAAAGTGTGCTACAGCAGAACAAGACTAATAACATAATAATAATAATAAATAATTATGCAGCATTGAATACTTACTAGACACTGCGTGAAGCAGTTTGCATGTGTGTTGTTTTATTATGGTGGTAAAATGCACATAACATGAAATTTACCATCTTGATCATTTTAAAGTGTCCAATTCAGTGGCATGCAGTACCTTCCCAATGCTACACAACCATCACCACTCTCTAGTTCCAGAAGATTTTCATCACCCAACCGGAAACCGGGTACCCAGTCACCCCACATTCTCCCCACCTCCATCCTTAGCACCCACCACACCACGTTCTGTCTCTGAATTTGACTACCCCACTAAGTAGTTCAAGTGGATCATGCAGTGCGCGATCTTTTGTGTCTGGCTTCTTTCACTTGGCATCTGTCCTCAATGATTGACATTACTGAACCCTGTGTCAATGTTTCACTCCTTTTTCTGGCTCACTAATATTCCATTGCATGGATAGAACACATGTGTGTATCCACTCATCCACTGATGAACGTTTGGATTGTTTCTAACTTAGAAACACTATTATAAATAGTGCTGCTGTAAACATTCATGTATAATGTTCTGTTAGAACACCTGTTTTCAATTCTTTGGGGCTTGCATGTTTTGATTCATTTAATCCCACAACCATTTTATGCTGAGAAAACTGAAGCACAGAGAGGTGAAGCAATTTTTCCAGGGCCACACTGCCAGCCAGCAAATGGCAGAATCAGGTTTGACCCCAAGCAGTCCAACCACAGGTTCCGTTAACCAAGATGGATGAGTTAGGCCAACCAACCCTTCTCCACCCACTGCA